TTAAATGTAATTTTAGATTCAGAAAATCCGATAAGCAGTATGTTTTTATAATAAATCAGTTTGGAAATAAGATTGAATTTGATAGCGAGTCGGGAAGATCATTTTTAAGATTAGGTATATTTTTTACAACATTTTTATGTTGGAATACGATACTTAAACAACAATTTACATTCCTGTACTATAATAATATTATTCGTAAATGTGCTGCTCTACAAAAATTTGATATTCAACTCTCTGACTTAGACGGTACTTATGATAAAAATGTTCAAATAGATTTAACGCGTTTATGCTTTCAAATTTCAAAAAAAAAATGTATATCAAATAAAACGCGATGTTCTTGAGTAAAATCAATCAGTTTTGAATACACAATGATCCAGAAACAATGATAAAAAATAAAAATAAAAATAAAAATGAGTAAGCAACAAGTTGTGAATGATACTTGGCAAATGGACTTAGTTCAAATGATACCATATTGTAAGGAAAATAAAGGATTTAGATATTTGCTAACCGTGATTGATACATTCTCAAAGTATGCATATGCAGCTCCCGTTAAGTCGAAAACAGCATTAGATGTGCTATCCGCAATGAAGAAAATATTAAAACTATCTAACCATAAACCTAAAAATATTCAATCTGATCAAGGAAAGGAGTTTTTTAATGCTTCCTTCACTGAGCTTATGAAAACAAATAACATAAACCATTACCATACTGTAGTATGCACACATAGGCAATACCCACTGTACCAAGAGTACTTAAGGGACAACACACTGTAACACTTTGTTGCAGTTTTTATGCAATCATAAATATCTTAAGTGCGAAGGTAATACGATCGCATAAATATGACTCGCGGACAAGAGTGCATCGTCGGCTGCTTTCACGTAACCGACGGCACTCAAACATTACTAGCGTTACTAGCAGCGCAGCTATGCGGCCCAAGCTAAGTAGAATTTAAGAAATATACATGAAGAGATTCAATAAAACCAACTCGAGAAAGACGGATGTCTTTCTGTCAATTTTAACAATAATAACTTGTCTACATGGCGACCGTGACCATGAAACTACTGAGGATCATAATAATTGTCTACAATAATGCAAAATTCGCGGCATAAAGAAACAATCTAAATTAAAAACTAATCAATTAATTGATAAATTATGCAATGAGAAAAAGCCTAAAAATAAAAATAAAGACAAAAATATTAAACTAAAATACACGTTTAAAGTGCTTCTAAAACTAATGAAGTTCAACAAAGTTATAAAAGAAGATAAAGACCTGAGAAGGCACCGACAACGCTACATAGAGCGTACAACAATGACCTGTGCGATGACCGTCACCGCCACCGCCTGAGCCACCATAGGCTATAAGAACAGCTAGCGTCAGCGTGGGAACAAGCTGGAGAAAAACCAAGATCTCCTCAACGCTGCTATTGAGCAAAGGAACAAGCCAAGTCTAAAGGAGGCTTTAGAGGCTTGTCCATCCGATGGACCACGCCCACTCACAATAGCTGAGTACCGGGCACGTCAACAACCGGAGCCCAAAAAGAAGAAGAAGCGCGGAGGCAAGCAAATAAAACTGCTGCGGGAACGTAGGTTGGTCCAAGACCTACTCCGGGCAGCTACAAATAGCGAGGACAAGGACAAATTGAATCCCCCATCTGGAGGAACTAAACAAAAAACTTTGCAATCCAAATAAACGCAAATAGGCTGCATTTATGCCAATGCCTAATTTGGCCATAAATTAATATTGAAAATAATACCCACAAGTAGATGCGTGCAAACGCTGCTTGTAAAAAAACTAATATCTGTTTGGCTTTGTACTAAAAACATATGGCTGATAATTTAAATGAAATTAATTATATAGAGCAAACCAATGGAAATCAGCCATATGCCCTTACTAATACTATTTTCTCATTTTTCAATTTTGTTTTCGTCAATTTTTGCCATTTTTTTTTTTTGATTTGAGTTTGAAATTTGAATTGATATTGAAAAAAAATATAATGAAAGAATAATTAAACAGTCCAAAAACGAATATTGACAGCCAATTAATATGAATGAGGGATACAAAAATTAGTAAGTTAGTTAGTAAGCCATATATATATGGCATATTTTTTCATAGAAAACCAATAATTATAACCAACATGGGTTTAGTAGACACAAAGACAGTGGATTCCACTACAAACGTAATTAACAAAGTAGAATCAAAAGAGATTGATTTAGGATTTACTAATACCCTGTTGATTATAATTGTTGTTATTATGTGTGCTAACGTATTTTTCAAAATTTATAAGCTACACAATAGGAGCCTTAAAAAGAAATATTTGAGTGAGACTAATGATTTGGACAAAATATAAATTATCTACATGGCAGTTTAACAACTCTAAAAGCAATTAGGAAAGTTCATGTTAGGGACCCACATTTCACAAATAAAATTCTACAATTGGTCTCAACGACCCCGAGGAGCATATCAGAACTCGAATATATGTACATGGGTACATTACAATTAGAATTTTAGCCATTAAAGTTAAAATGAAATAGAATGGCAAAATATTAATGAGACATTAGTTAACATAGAAAAAAATTTTGATAAGTCATAAAAGTGTCTTACACAAAATAGGACAATCCTAAGAGCTACAGTGAATAAGCATGCAACCATATTAGTTGAGTGTTTTAACGAGGCACGTAAACTAATACATGATAATAGAGAACGCATAAAAGAACAAAATTGGTCACAGGTATCAAAATTTCTGATCAAACTTCGATCAAATTTAATATCGATTCGATTCAAGACAAATTCCACTTGGATATTTCAATCCCAACAGTTTTGAATACTCCATTCACCATAGACATATAACAACCTGGAACAAGTCAGAATATAGAAGTTGACCAAGAGGTTGAATTACTTGATCATGAAATAAACGTGGAAGAAAAAGATCTACACGATCTAACGATCCGAGCTGTATTAAGAGTACCACAACATCTAGTACAAGATTTGTCTGATTCAGATTCATTGAATAGTGCGATAGAACAAAAACATATCAGAATGGCAGACGACCCAGTTGCCCAACGGGCATATATGAAAGATATTTCGCACGCCATACCTGAATTTAATTTACAGAAACTTCATTTGCAACGATTCATAACAGCAATTAAATTAGTTAACCTAACAAAAGGACCTCATGAATCCTTAGCAATAGAAGTAATAAAATCAAAGATTATAGGAACAACACTGTACAAAGTTCAAGAACTTAACACACTAGACGAAATCATAAAGAAACTAAAAGACACTATAATCGGTGAAACATCTGACGTTGTCAAAAAGGGAAAACAGAACCACAATATACCACAGAAATCGACAATTTGCGAAAACTACTTGAAGCTTCGTAAATCGATGAAGGGCTACCAGCCGAACATGCTGATAAATTCAGTACAAAAGAAGCAATTAACACAATGGTTAAAAATTGTGAGCATGGTAGACTAAACAACTTTTTAGAAGCAGGTAACTTCACAACCATGAACGATGCCGTCACAAAGTATATACAATGTAGTACTGAAATGACGGGCAATGCAAGTTCAATACTGTACACGCGAAGAGGACAAGCCTACCGCGGTAGTAACTACCGAAGTAACTACCGAGGTAGAGGAAATGGTAGTGGCTACTACAATAACAACAATTCTAATAGTAATAACTATCAGTCAAATAATTATAGAGGTCGTGGTACTTATAGAGGAAATAACCGTGGTAACAGCACATCCCATAACAACCAAAATTACGTCAGAAATGGGAACAGAAGACACAACAATAATGTCCGTGTTACCCAGACGGCTTCGGGAAACTCCCAAACTCCTTTAGATACTCCAAATTATTACAAGCAAAGGTCCAAACCATCAATCTCAATCTCAACATATTCGTGTCATTTGACAATGCCAAGACAGGAAAACATCTAACATTCCTAGTAGATACAGGAGCCAACATATCACTAATAAAAGAAACTTCAGATGTCTTCAATAACATACAAATAAATAATAAAATAGATATTCAAGGTATAGGTGAAGGTATTATAAAATCCCTAGGCCTTGTCCCAATAGAACTACAGACAGATAAATACATAATTCCACACAATTGCCATTTAGTAAACCAAAATTTCGCAATCCCATGTGATGGAATAATAGGGATTGACTTCATAAAAGAATTAAAATGGTATTTATGTTGCAAATACCGTTGCAACCACTCGAAACGCATTTTTTCGATTACTAAATACAACAAATAACGACCAGTTAATTAATATAAATAATTTAAAATATGAACCACTTTCGAATTACAATGTAGTTCAAACAACTTCTAAAATCAGGGAACAAACTGTCATAGCTCAGCTTACAAAAAATTTTCCAACTCCATTCAAACAACAATTAACTGAACTATGTTCCAAATATAATGACATATTCGGACTTGAAACCGAATCGATAACAACTAATAATTTTTATAAACAGAAATTAAGATTGAAGGATAATGAACCTATTTATATAAAAAACTATCGAAGGCCGCATAGCCAAGTTGAGGAAATCCAGAAGAAATAGGAAAACTAATAGACGACAAAATAGTCGAACCATCCGTGACAGAGTACAACAGCCCCCTTTTACTAGTACCAAAGAAAGCCCTTCCGGGCACAGAACAGAAAAAAAGGCGATTAATGGTCAAATAAATAAAAAACTCCTGTCAGATAAATTTCCATTACCTAGGATTAATGACATTTTGGATCAACTAGGCTGAGCAAAATACTTCTGATGCCTTGATTTAATGTCAGGTTTTCATCAAATAGAACTAGAAGAAAGTTCACGTAATATAACTTATTTTTCAACGAACAATGGCTCAAATCGCTTCACGCGACTACCATTTGGTTTAAAAATAGCGCCAAATTCATTTCAAAGAATGATGACTATTGCATTCTCTGGACTTGAAGCTTCGCAAGCATTGGACGATCTTATTATAGTCATTGGTTGTTCCGAAAAACATATGCTCAAAAACTTACAAGATATTTTTGAAGTATGTGCGAAACACAACCTGAAATTACACCCACAAAAATGTTAATTTTGTATGCATGAAGTGACCTTTCTCGGTCATAAATGCACAAAAAAAGGAATCTTGCCAGATGACAAGAAATATGACGTCATCAAAAACTATGCAGTCCCGCATGACGATTCAAATAGAATTGCCTAGGCAATCTCTAGAAAAAGCTTCAAAGCCCAACGTATATGAAGTCATTAACAATGACGAAGTACGCAAAGTAGTGACCTTGCATGTAAAAAATAATTTCTGTTTTTTCAAACATGGAAAACAAAATTACAGCAAGATATGAAGTTAGCGATTTGTATACTAATGGAACCCTTTGAATTAGGTCAGTTCTTCCAAAGGCTTGAAATTCAAGCCGGTAAACAAAAAATCAGGTAAACAAAAAATTGATTACTAATTACAGAATTACTAATTAGTAAATGTCAAAAATGCCAAAAGTCGAAATCGACTAAATATACCAAAACTCCTTTACAATTATGGAAACCCCCCAAATGGCTGGATCGGTCCACTTCCTAAATCAGAACAGGGAAATGAATATGCCGTCACATTAATCTGTGACTTGACGAAATACCTAGTTGCCATCCCAATTAAAAATAAAAGCGCAAACATAGTAGCAAAACCTATCTTTGAAGAATTTATTCTGAAGTACGGTCCAATGAAGACGTTCATTACGGACATGGGAACAGAATACAATAATTCAATCATTAACGACTTGTGTATATATCTAAAAATAGAAAACATAACGTCAACAGAGCACCACCACCATACAGTTGGAACAATAGAAAGAAGCCACAGAACATTTAACGAATACATGAGATCTTATATATCAGTTAATAAAACAGATTGGGACGTATGGCTCCAATATTTTGTTTATTGCTTCAATACAACCCCCTCTATGGCACATAATTATTGTCCATATGAGTTGGTAAGACTAACAATCTACCAAATTATTTTAACAGCATAAATAATATAGGACACTTATATAACATTGATGACTACGCTAAAGAAAGTAGGTATAGATTAGAAGTAGCATAGAAAAGAGCAAGAAATATGCTAGAATTAAATAAGAAGAAAAATAAGGAAGTTTATGTTTTAAAAATTAGGGACATAGCTCTATCAATAGGAGATAAAGTTATATTAAAAAACGAATCAGGGCATAAGCTAGATTCCAAATATACAGGTACCTATACAGTAGAAAACATCGGAGAAAGAGATAACATCATAATCTCTGATGATAGGAAAAAGAAACAAAAAGTGCATAGGGATAGGATAAAGATTTTTAACCCTTTGTCATATGTAGCATGGCCATGTATAGGAAAAATAAACATTTAGAAATTTGTATAAAATTTGAAATTGTATTACCCATTCATTCAAATTTAATAATTCAATACAAAAACAAATGAAAAAAAATAAAAGAAAAAAATAAGAGGAGGAATACATATTGAAAAAAAAACAAAACAAAAAAAAATATCAATTTCAATAAATTTTTTTCAATTTAAACAATATATAATAATAAGAATTAATTTTCATTAAAAAAAAAAATATCTTCATATATTACGTTATTTTTCAAAAGGAGGGAGATGTAGTATGCACACATAGGCAATACCCACTGTACCAAGAGTACTTAAGGGACAACACACTGTAACACTTTGTTGCAGTGTTTATGCAATCATAAATATCTTAAGTGCGACGGTAATAAGATCGCATAAATATGCCTCGCGCACAAGAGTGCATCGTCGGCGTCTTTCACGTAACCGACGGCACTCAAACATGATCCGTCTGAATGTGCATGCATACCCCTCGCGCCCCCGCTATCAGAAGCGCTGGGCATATATACATACATATATATTAAACACATAAATGTGGCCGCTCCGCTGCCGGCGTTACTGGCAGCGCAGCTACGCGGCCCCAAGCTAAGTAGAATTTAAGAAATATACATGAAGAGATTCAATAAAACCAACTCGGGAAAGACGGATGTCTTTCTGTCAATTTTAACAATAATAACACACCTAAAAGCAAATATTTGCGAACGTTTTAATATAACATTAAAAAATCGTATGTGGAAAATGTTTTTTGTTTTTGTTAAATGGTTAGGGTTTGATGAAACACACAATTCCTGGATAGATAAAAAAAGTATATTGAAATAATTAAACAGCAAAAAACAATTTTTTTATCTCGTTTTATGTTTTTATAATATTTAAAATAGTTTAAATTACTTCATTATTACTAAGATCTATAATATTTACAATTTCAAAGTGATTATGTGCTAACGTTGAAATATTATCGGATAATATAAATCTTTTGTCATCCTTATAATTTAAACTCATTTACAATTTCAGTATACATTTTATGACCTCTACTTCTGATTACTCTCTGCTGTCCATAACATGTTTTTTTTATGTTTAAGGCATTCAATATACTGAGCATGTGATAATCGTTTAACTACCCACTTTTTTACTCCTTTAATCTTTTTGACATTATGTTCAGTGCTATTGTCTTTGACAACTAAATAAGAGAATGCTTTCGCTTTTAACCCTGCAAATGAGGTCATTATACGACCCGCATTTTCGTCTTTCATTAAACCTAGTTCTTTGTTATTGCCCGATTAATCCCGAAAATATTTGACTCTTGGTAATTTGAGGTATTAAAAAAGGTATTTAACCCATAAAAATCTTCTATTGATGATATAATAAATGAATCTGTATCCATGTGGAGTATTTTTGATGATGGGCATTTTAGAGAATGAAAATGATAGAAATAGTATACATTAACCATTTTGAAAGTTCTAGTATACAAACTCCAATGTATATGGGTTTATTATACAAAATGCTTGATTTAGAGGACTCAATGGCAGCTAAATTTTCACCAAAGATTTCAACACTGTGAAAATTATGTCTAGCTATGCGTTGTCTAAACCCTGCGGAATTTTGTCTTGAATTATAATGTTTAATTAATGCGACCTCCCGTCGCTTTTCTACATTCTCCATCGTTTTACCGTAGACAGCATTAACCATTAATTTATAAAAGTTTATCTCAAACTCATTCTTAGCTTCTTTTCTATGGGATGTATTTAGATCAATATAGGGTTTAAGCCAACAGGATTGCTTAAAAGATAATACTCGCGATATTTTTTCTAAAATCATACCTTTCTCTATGCATAACTGCAACTGTTTTAAATGTATTATATAATTATTTTTATCAGATATGTCCGCTATCAATTTTGATTGTTTTCCGCCTGGAGGAATCTTATTTTCGGGGCAGAATGGTAAACTATTATGTTTATTGTGTATAGAATGAGGATATTTCAGATCTATTCTTAGATGTATCCTACATCCCCGCAAGCAGATATACTTAGAGCGTTGAAAGATTGAATTTCATTGTTACTTAGAAATTTGAAATTGTAATATTTCCCATCCATATAAATTGTTATCATCAATGTACGCTAGATAGTTTATAGGATCACTGGCCCTGAATCTTTCATTTAAATATTTATTATTTGCAGTAGCTATCTTTGTATATTTACGCATTGCATCGCATGAAACAGAAGGAGCAGTAACATAATTTATTGGGGTCTAACTTAGATATTCGTGAGCAAATACTCCTAAAGTTTTCAAATACATCAGCAAGAATTAGAATTATAATTTCAAATAATCTCGAATACTGCTGCAATTAAATGTTCTCCAAACCTTCTGAGCAAAGTTATAGTCTTCTAAACTACACTCCTCATCACTCAGTGAGTTGAAAAACAATTCTCTCGAGGGTAGTTGGAGATCGTCAAATTTGCTAAAGGTATCTAAATATTCGTATGGAAACAAAATTTCGCCTTAACATATCAAATGTTTCCCCTTGATACTTGTTTTTTTAAATTTTAAGATTTGATGGATCCATATAACTAGCAAGTTTTTCTAAGCTCGAATTTAAAAATCTATTTGAATCTATATATCTTATTTTATAATGCTGTTGTTTTGAAATATCAATCTCAACAATTTGAGTTAGCGCAATGTATAACTCTTTGTTACACGGTATGGGTTTAAGTTCATCTTTTATTGATGTTACAAATAAATGAATATCAGTTTAAATGTTTGCTTACAAACCTTATGAATAGGACCTACATATTGAGTTGGTTAAAAAACTTCTCCCGGTAGTCAGTCGAAATGGGCTCATCACAGGCATAGCACTCTCCATGTTCCTGATAGTCCTCATTCCAAATGATAAACTCGTAGTTTGGTTTTTTAGCAGATTTCCAGTACTTATCACAAAGTCCCATGGTTTGCGATCGAAGCACTTGGCAAAATGTATCGATACAATCTGGTCCTGAAATAGCGTAACTCCTAATGTTTTAACAGTTTCACTACCTTTAGATTGTGATAATATTTACCTTCATATGTCCACATCTCATTTAAATGATGATTATATTCATGTACAACATAAAATGACACTGCACATGCCGTATGCTTCTGAGCCATAGTGGTAGATGATTTTAAGGAATCATTCAGATTTCTATGAAAACTTTCCAATACAGCCTCGATATCAGCATAAATGACCACAGGGGGAGATAGTTTTTTAATGAAACTAGTAAAAACCGTTTTGGTATTTGGAGTACGATATTGGCCAGCAACTTTTCCGCACTCTTTATTGTCATGGGTGGTATTTGTGGTAGTATAAAATTGTAAACAATTTTCACAAAAATATGCCGTGCAATGGGACTTATTATGTTGAGAATAGCATAATTTTTTCATGCACGTTATATAGGCATAATGCATCATTTGCAAAGAGTCCTTATTAATCCCTAATAGGTTGATGTGATGTCCTCGAATTGCTTTAGTCCTCACTGTTGGTCCTACAACGTTTTTTCCATTGTCATCGATTTCATACACATTTATGCTAATATTAGCATTGGATAATTCGAATCTCTTTATTCCTTTGTTTGTGATTGGAAACTCAATCCCAGAAAAATCCAGTCTCACTCCTTCATAGCAAATAATATCTTGCCTGATGTCTATCATTCGATAGTATGAAGGGTTTGTTTAGTTATCTCGTGCTTTTTTTTATGGTTTGCTGTTGCAAATGTAGTGCTCAAGTACCGTCTATATGCCGATGACAAAATTGACCACTTGAAGCAATAATCATCTTCATTTTTAACATTTATTAATGCATTTCGAGATTTTATTTTCTTGGGAGCTGGTATAAATCTATTTACAGCGATATGTTCCAATTTAATTATTGTCAGCTCAAAATATTCAAATTTTTTTATTGCCCAACCTG